CCGACGCCCTCGGCTGAGGGATTTTCCCCTCGTCCGAGGGAGCCGAGCGTCCGAGGGTCCGAAAGGGCCGAGGGCGCCGAGGGCGCCGACGGCCGCTGATTGGCCAAGGCACGCCCGGCCGATCAGCAGCCCTTCGGCCATCCGTCGTTTTAAGGTTATGAGGGGGGGCGGCAGCCCAAAGGCGCAGCCCTTGGGCGTCCCTGGGCGCGCCGTGGGTGCCGGCATTGACGCCCACGGTCGCGACGGTCCCCGAGACGGGGCGCAGCCAAGAGCGGCGGCCGTGCGGCGCTTTCCCCTCGCGGCGCCGTGGGCTGCCTACACGTCGGCGCGGGCACGAGGTCCTGTCGGTCCTAGGCCGCGCAGTCGCCCCAGTCGATGATGGAGCGTGGCCCGGGGGCGGCCAGGGATGATCTCTCCTGGCTGCTGACGCTGGTGCTGCCGTGGATCATCACGGAGTCTCCGTCGGACCGCCGCGGCGCCCGAGCCCCGACCGGACGAACTCGACGATTTCGAGTCTCACGACCCAGCCCTTGTACCGAGACGACGCCTGGGTGACGACGAACGATTCCCGATGCTGCAGTGACTCGAAACGAGTCGATGGGTTGGGAGGCGTCGAGCGCGCCCCACCCGAGCCTCTGAGAATCGCCCGCCTGTTCCCCGACGCCATCGCCTGGACGTCCCGTTTTCACCGGCGCGTCGTCCGTCAGGATGCGGCCCATGCAGCCACTGAGATCGTTGCGCATCTCCGCGTATTCGCTGAGCGGCGCGGGTGCAAAGCCTGTCATCAATCATGCAGCCCGGACATCCAGCGCCCGGGGGTCACCAACGGTTCGCCGCCCTCGTCCGATGGACGTGCGCTCGTCCGACGGCCGTGCGCTCGTCCGACGGCCGAGTCCTCGTCCGAGGGCGCCGATCCGCCGTCCGAGGGTCCGAGGGCGTCGGCCGAGGGGGCGGCGCCCTCGTCCCGAGGGCGCCGAGGGCGCCGAGGGCGCCACTGACCCCCCTCAATGCAGATCCACCTAAGAGCCACCACACACACACTTTTCTTAGTCCAGCCCGTCCTCGAGGTCGAAGAAGTTCGGGTCCGGGACGCACGACTCCGGCACGGGCGTCACGGGCGTGCCCGGCCGCGCGGCGGGCGCGCGGGCCTCGGCGCCCGGCGGCGGGAGCTCGAGGCGGAGGTTGGCGCCGGGCGCCGGCGCCGGGGCCTCGACGGCCGGGGGCGCCGGGGCCTCGGCCGCCGGGGCCTCGACGGCCGCGGCGGGCGCGGGCGCCGCGCGCGCGGCCGCGGGCGCGGGCGCCGCGGCGCCGCCGTCCGCGGCCGTCCCGTCGCCCGGCGCCGCGGCGGGCGCCGCGGCCTCGGAAAGGTCGTCCGGCGGCGGCGGCGGCGGCGGCGGCTCTTCGCCCTCGAAGGTGTAGACCTGGGGGAAGCGCCGGTGGAACTCGTTGTACTCCTCCGGCCGGTACGAGCCGTAGAGGAAGGGGTCGTCCGCGCCGTAGCGGTCGACGCCGTCGAAGGACAGCGTGCCGTCGGGGATCTTGCCCGCGGCCTTGGCGGCCTCGCGCATGGCCCGCTCGCGCTTGTACTGGAGCCACCGCGGGTGGTCCTCGCGGCAGTAGAGGCTCCAGTCGTAGAGCGGGTCGTAGGCCTTCTCCTCCTGGCCCGCGGCCGCGGCGGCCTCGGCGTCGGCGGCGGCCTTGTTCCGCGCCTCCGTGCGCGGCGTCACGACGGCCAGCAGCTCGTCGTAGCGCTCGAGCTGCTCCCGGAGCCTGTAGGCCGTCGACGGCGCGTCGTGGTGCGGGCAGTCCTCGGGGAGGTGGTACCAGCTGTTGGGGCCGATCTGGTAGCAGAGGCAGCCGCCGAAGTCCTGCGTCGGGCAGGGCTCGCGCTGGGACTGCGGCTTGCGGCGCCCCTGGTCGTCGAGGTGGCGCAGGTCGAGCTGCTCCTTGAGCTGCTCCGGCGTCAGATCCAAGAGGATGTCGGGCGTGATGTCCTCGATGAGCACGGCCTTCTTCTTCGGCAGCTCCGGCCGCTTCGCGTCCTTCTTCTTCGTCGCCATGGCCCGCGGTGGCCTGCTTGCTGGCGGGGCAGCACCAGCGCGCGAAGTAGTGCGCGAAGTGTGTGAAGTCAAGTTGAAGAAAGCATCACCCGGGCAGCCTCATACTAGCATTCGAATCGGGCGTCGGACGCTGTGGCCGTCTACCGTCTCGCGTCGTTCGCCCCCGCCGGTCGCGCCCCCAGGTCCCCCGGAGACCGCCGGCGACGATGTGCGACTACAGCAAGTGGGACAAATTCACGGACGCCGACTCGGACAGCGACAGCGAGAGCGCGAGCCTCTTCAGCGGCCTCAACCGCTTCGTCCAGTCCCTGGGCCCCAAGGCCGACGGGGGCGCGCACCCCTGGGAGGCCCCGGCCGACGTCGCGCAGGACCGGCCGCTCCGCTTCGCCGTCGGCGACGCCGTCGACGTCCTCGTCGGCGACGACCAAGGGCGGCTCGGCGGCGACTGGCGGCGCGGCGTCGTCGCCGCGGTCCGGTGCCCCGCGCGCGAGTGGCCCCCCGGCGCGCGCTGCCCCTACCGCGTGACGCTGGAGTCGGGCGGCGACGTCGCGTGCCCGCGGGACGACGACTCGTGCGTGCGCGCGCGGTCCGCGAGGCCGCCAAACGCGAAGCCCGCGCCCGCGGACCTCGGCGGCGCGCTCGCCGCGGGCCTGAGCGCCTGCGACGAGGCGACGGCCTTCTACTCCGGCGCCCTCGTCGCCGCGGCGGCGCGGGGCCGCGGCGCCGAGGTCGACCGGTGCCTCGCGAGCGGCGCCGTGCCGCTCGTCGTCGCCGTCGACGCGTCGAGCCCGCTGCTCGAGCCCCGGCACGGCCGCGTCGTCGTCGTCGCCAACGACGACGGCGCGGGCGCGGATTTAGATGTGGTCGCGACGGCGCTCTTCGCGGCGCTGTCGCCGCGGGGCACGCGCGGCGGCGACGCGCCCTTCGCGGGCTGCCTCTCCGGCGCGACCCGCAAAAAGAACCGGGGGCCCAAGGTCGCCGTCGCGCGGCGCCTGCTCGCCTACGCGCGGGCGGACCAGGACCGGGCCGTCGGGGGCGCGCGGAACCGCGAGGGCAAGCCGTGCCTGCTCGCCGTCGCCGGCGACGGCTTCTTCGACGACGACTGCGCCGCGGCTTTGTGCGACGAGCTGCGGGGCCACGGCGCGACGGCGGACGACGCCGCGGCGGGGGCCTACGCGGCGGCCGCCGCCGGGCGGCCGAAGACGCTCGCGGCGCTGTTGGCGGGCGGCGCGGACCCGGACGCGGCGGTGCCCGGCAAGCGGCTCCGGTGCCTCCACGCGGCGGCGCTCCAGGGCCACGGCTCCTGCGTCGCGTCGCTCCTCGAGTCCGGCGCGGCCGTCGACGTCGAGAACGCGGCGGGCGCGACGCCCCTGTGCTTCGCGCTGCACCACGACCACGCGGACGCGGCCGCGCGGCTCCTCGCGGCCGGCGCGGACCCGCTCCACGACCTGGCGCGGCTGAGCCGGCGGAAGCGCCTCGAGGACGCGGGGGCGACGGCGCGGGCCTACGTGGACCACTGGGTCACGGCCGCGACGGAGGCGTCGCGCGGCGGCGCGCGCTTCGACCACGGCGCCGTCGACGACGAGCTCGCCAGGGCGCTGGAGAAGGCGCAGTCGGGCACGGCCAAGGCCGCCCAGCTGCGGTTCCTGCTCGAGGAGGCGCGCGCGACGCTGGCGCCGATCCGCGACGCGGACGCGGCCGCGCGCGACCTGTTGAGCCTCGGCGACGGCGGGTCCGCGGACGCGCCGGACCCCGCGGAGCCGACGACGCCCGCGGGCGCGCCGCGGCCCAAGCCCAAGCGGAAGCGCCGGAAGAAGGGCGCCAAGGCGCCCGCGGCCGAGGCCGCGCCCGAGGCCGCGGCGCCGCCGCCCGAGGCCGCGGCGCCCGCGCGGCGCGAGTCCGACGCGTCGTCCGAGGGCGACGCCGCGCCGGCGCCGGGGAGCGACGACGACGCGCCGGCGCCGCCCGAGGCCGACGACGACGCGGCGGTGGTTGGGCTCCTGCGGGGGCTGGACCTCCTGCGGCTGCTGCCGCGCTTCCGCCAGCACGAGATCGACGGCGCGTCGCTGCCGTACCTGACCTGCGACGACTACGTGCAGATGGGCGTCCCGACGGGGCCCCGGCGGCGCATCCTCTGCGCCGTCGCCGCCGCGCGCGACCGGCCGGGCGCGGCGCGGCCGCCGCCCGTCGCCGCGCTGCCCGTCGCCGCGCGCGCGTCCTGGCACTGCCCCATCTCCATGGACGTCATGCGCGAGCCCGTCGTCTGCGCCTGCGGCAACACGTTCGAGCGCTCCTTCATCGCCGCCTGGCTCACGACGAACGACACGTCGCCGGTCACGGGCGAGGTCTTCCCCCACAAGATGCTCGTGCCGAACCACTCCATGCGCTCCGACATCCAGGAGTGGCACGACGAGTGCAAGCGCGCCGGCGGCGCGCCGCCCTCGCCGACGCGGGCCGCCCAGCAGCGACGACGAGACCCCGAGGACGCGTAAGGAAACTTGCCCGGCAAACTTGGAAACTTGCAGGGCTCCGCCGACCTCCAAGTTCTAAAGTACCGGTTGCTCGAGCATGGCAGGCGGCGAGATCGACGCCGCGAACATCCTCCAGTCGAAGCGCGTGCGAGCGGCGCCAGCGCGGGACTCGGACGAGGGGCAGCCCGCGCCGCCGGCGAAGCAGAAGAAGCCCGCGAAGAAGAAGAAGCCTGCGGCCGCCGACGAGCGGCAGCCTGCGCCGCCGGCGAAGAAGAAGCCGGCGGCGAAGAAGCCTGCGAAGCCGCCGGCGAAGAAGACGAAGCCTGCGGCCACCGAATCTGGACCACAGCCAGAGTACCGCTTGGACCTCGAGGCGGCGACGGAGCAAGCGCGTCACGCGCTCGAGAAGTTCGGCGAGGCGCAAAGCTGGACGACGACGGAGAATGATGCCATTGCAGAGGGCGTGCACGACGAGGCGGCTCGGGCCGAGATCATGGAGTGCTCTTATTCTCGTCAATGGGGCTGGTTTGTTCGCTCGGACGAGCGCGATTTCGACGAGCATCCGTTTCTTGTCGCCACTGACTTCGGACGCGACGCCGGTCCACACGGTCCGTGGGCGCCCGAGGAGTACGAGGATGCGCCATTTGATGGAGAGCGTGCAGACGGGATGATGCCGGACGGGAGGAATCCGCTCGGCGAAATCCGCGACTACAAGTGCGTCGCGGCCTTCCGAGAGGCGCAGGTGCATCTCACGTTTGGCGAGAAGAAGATTCGCGCCCCCGAGGGCCTCGAGGAGTCAGGGCCGGACGACTACTACTTTTCGGGGTCGGTCCGCGTTCGCCGCGGCGGCGACGACCGACTCGCGTGGGCAACTCTCTGCCGCTGGGAATACATGGTCGAGGGCTGCCAGGAGGGGGAGACCTATGCTCGCGGGGCCCTGTGCCAGGCGGCATGTTTGGAATTCGCCGAGCTGGTATCCGGCGACGAGGGCGCGGGAGCGTGGCGTCCGCGAGATCTCCTGCAACTCGTCTGGCGGCTCTGCGCCGCGCCGTTCGATTGGTTTTACGCAGAGAATGAATTCATGCTGCGGTACGTCGAGGACGATGAGGCAGATAACAACATGATGACGATTCCCGGGGTCCTACGCGTGCACCTCCTCGACGTCGCCGGGGCGGCCGACGACGAAGAATACCTCGGCAGCGACGAGTTCCCCGGCTACGCCAAACGCCTCTTCGAGCAGGAACCGGACACATCGAACATGCTCATCCACCCTCATGACGGAAGCCTCGATGGCGCTGTCATTCGGTCGTGCGCGAACGGTTTCGGCCTTGACGGCAACTCTGCATGTGTCACTTCTATCGAGCCCGTGGAAACTGCTGCAGAAGTGGTTCTTGGATCGCGCGCAGACAGGATTCCCATAGCCTGAGACGGGCATCCTGTCGTCTCAAAGCCGGCCCAACTTCGCCGCGTCCTGGGTCCTTTCTAAGACGGCACCGGACCCGCCCCTGTGGGGCAACCCCACGACCATAACATGCGCAGGAGGTGCTTTAACGCGGTTCAGTTTAGCGTCCGGCGGTTGAAATGAGCAAGGGGGCGCGCACGGGGACGTCAACTCGGCTAAATTGGCCTTCAAGGAGGCTTCAACCAGCTTTGGGGTGTAAGGCGATGGCTTGCCTCCTCGAGGCACGGCCTGCGCAGGCGGGCTTCGCCGCGGACGAGGAGGAGGAGGCGGTCGTCGGGTTCGATGGCAGCTCGGACGAGGAGGACTTCTGGGCGCTCGTCGGCTGCGACGCGTCGTCCGACGGCGAGGAGGAGGCGCGCGGCGGCGACCCCTGGCCCGGCGTCGACGCGGCGCGCTGCGCGGCGGCGCTGAAGTCCGAGGGCTTCGTCGTCGTCACCGGCGCCACGGGCGGCGCTCTGGCGGCGAAGCTCGGCAACGACGTCGAGAACGCGGCCGCGCAGTCGCTGCTGCGCGCTTCCCCGAACGCGCTGCGGACCGGAGGCGGCGCGCGGACGATCCGGGCCAAGGTCGGCGTCGAGGAGCTGGAGCTCGCGTCCAAGGGCGCGCCCGTGCTCGACGACCCGTCCGTCGTCGCGCTGCGGGGCCTCTGCCCCGCGCTCCGCGACTTCGGCGGCGGCGCGGCGCGCGTCCTGGGGTCGCGGCTCGGCGCGGCGCTCGGCGGTTCGGCGTTGCGCGTCGACGAGGTCAAGGCCGCGCGCCACGGGCCGGGGGGCTGCTTCCCGGCCCACTTCGACACGACGGAGGCGACGGGGCGCGTCGTCACGGGCATCCTCTACCTCGCGGACGACTGGGGGCCGGAGGACGGCGGCGAGCTCCGGCTCTACCGCGCCGGCGGCGCGGGCGCCGTCGACGTGCCGCCGCGGCGCGACACGCTCGTCCTCTTCTCGTCGCGCGCGACGCTCCACCGCACGCTCCCGCTGCGCCGCGGGTCGCGGCCGCTCGCGTCGTTCTGGTTCGCCGCCGACGGCGCGCTCCGGCTCCCCGACGCCGCGGGCCGCCGCGCGCCCGACGTCGAGCACGCCCTCGTCAAGCTCCTCCACGCCGACGACTACGCGCGGAGCTTCCGGGACGCGTTCCCGAACGACGGCGCCGTCGACGCCGCGCGAGCGCCTGGGCAGGACAAGAGAGATTCAACGTCGCTTCAACGTGAGTGTTCCGCGCGCGTGCGTTCCGGAAAAAGCGCCCACGCGTCGAGAGCGCTCCGAGAGATGATCGCTCGTCCAAAAATCAGCCGAAACGAGCGGAAAACGACCGAGATCGGAGCCTTTGAAGCCTGACTGAGTTGGGAATGTCGCACCCTTTTGCTGCCCAGGCTCGCTCTCGACGCCGCGGCCAACGCGGCCGCGGAGGCCCGGCTCGACGACGGCGCCCGGCGCGAGCTCGCGCGGCGCCGGGCCGCGCTTCGGGCGAGCTAATGGAGGCCTACCAAGCCGCGCTTAGGACGAGCTCACGTCGAGGGCGAGCGTGTCGCCGTAGGTCTCCACGAAGGGGCGCCAGCCGCCGTGGACGAGGAAGCCGCCGCCGGAGGGGCAGAGCACGAGGGCGTTGCGCGGCTTGAAGTCGCCCGAGGCGTCGGCGCGCCGCCACGCGTCCGCGGCGACGTCGAGCACCCAGACGTCGCCGAGCGGGTCGAGGCCGCCGTCGTCGCCGCGCGCGGCGCCGCCGGCGACGACGACGGACGTGGCGTCGAGCGGCGCCGCCGCGGCGCCCGCGCGGCCCGCGGGCCCCGTCGCGCCGAGGGCGCGCCAGGTCCAGGTGGCCACGTCGAGGACGAACGCGTCGGCGCACATGGCGCCCGACTTGTCGGCGCCGCCGAAGACGACGACGCCCGCGTCGACGGCCGCGGCGACGTGGAGGCCGCGCGACGACGGCGCCGGGCCGGAGGTCGCCTGCTCGCGCCACTCGCGCGTCGCGGCGTCGAAGAGGAGCACGGACGTCTCCGACCGATGCGTGTGGACGAGGACGTCGCCGCCGGCGAGCGCGCAGCAGACGTGGCGCGACGCGGGGCCGCCGGGCACGGGCGCGCAGCTCTCCCAGCGCCCCGCGGCGATGTCGTAGGCCCAGACGTCGTCGAGGATCGAGCCGCCCGTGCCCTCGGTCTCGGGGTCCCAGCCCCCGAAGAGGAACAGCTCGCCGCCGACGGCCGCCAGGGCGGAGCAGAGCCGCGGGCCGGGGCCGCCCGTGGCGACGCGCGTCCAGCCGTCGGCGTCGTAGCGCCAGAGGTCGTCGACGACCGTGCGCGCGCCGGCCTCGTCCTCCTCGTAGCCGCCGAAGAGGTAGACGGAGCCGTCCGTGGTCGCCGTCGCCGCCGCCCCGGACCGCGGCGACGGCTGGATTTTTGATGTGATGGGTGACCAGGACGCGCGGAGGGCTGTTGTCGTGCCCAGCGCGAAGAGGAGGAGGCGCATGGCTGCGGGCGGGCGCGTTTTTGCGCCCAACATGTGATTTCCTTCCTTCCGACTGTGGTAATTGTGCTTTGATTGTTGCAGTTTTTGTTGCACCCTAATTTTTACGTGACGCCCGCCCGCGCCCGCCCCAGCGCGAGCCGGGCGATGGCGCGCGGCGTCAGCGTCGACGACGCGCGCGCGGAGTCGGCGTAGAAGTCGTCGAGGATGGCCGTGCTCCCCGCCTGGAGCTCGTCGACGACGAGGGCCCAGAGCTCGGCCTTGGCGCGGGGCGCGAAGTGCGTCGCGTCGAGCCACGGGTGCCACAGCGTCGGCAGGCGGCCGCGCGTCGGCGGGTGCTTCGCGAGGCACCGCTGGAAGTCGTCGTAGGGCAGGAGCGCCAGCGCCGCGTCCGGCGCGCCGGCGACGGCGGGCCGCCGGCCCGCCGCGGGCCGGGCCTCGCCCGTCGCGCGCCACGCGCGGCTCAGGAGCCGGTCGTCGACGAGGAAGTTGAGCGCGTTCTGGTCGTCGCGCTCCTCCCGGGTGGCCGCGGCCCACGCCGCGACGAAGGCCCGCGCGTCGGCGCCGACGCGCAGCAGGAAGAACCCGGGGCAGAGCGCGAAGCCCTTGTGCCGCGCGGCGCGGCCGCCGAGGTCCACGGAGAACGCACCGAGCCGGCGCCCGAGCCGGCGGGCCGCGGCGGCGAAGGCGTCGCCGATCCAGAACGCGTCGACGTCGCTGTGGAGCACGAAGTCGAGGCCGCGCGCCTCCGCGTCTCGTAGCGCGTCCTGGATCGCGTCGAGCCGCAGGCTCCAGAGCCGCCGCCGGCCGTCGTCGCCGTCGACGGCGCAGGACCGCTCGACGACGCGGCCCCGGAGCGACGGCCGCAGCGCCAGCGACGCGGCCGCCGCCGCGCGCGCGGGCCCGTCGAGGGCGACGATCGCGACCTCGACGGCCGCGGCCGACCGCTCGACGCACCGCAGCCAGAGGTGCAGCAGCGGCGCGTAGGCCTCCGAGACGAAGGTCACGACGAGGCCCCGGCCGCCGCGCGTCGCGGGCGGCGGAAGCGGCGCGGCGGCCGCGGCGGCGCGCTCGACGTCGACCGCGACGTCCGCCGACGGCGCGGCGGCCGCGGTGGCGCGCTCGACGTCGATCGCCGCGTCCGCCGACGGCGCGGCGGCGGCGGCGGCGCGCTCGACGTCGACCGCGACGTCGCCGCGGCCGACGACGTCCGACAGCGGCGTCGAACAGCGGACGGCGCGGCCCGCGCGGCGGACGCGCAAGCGGATCTCGCAGCCGTCGTCGTAGCGCGCGTCGCGCGCGAGGTCATGCGCCGCGAGGAAGCGCGCCAGGAGGATGTCGCAGCAGCGGCCGCTCGCGAGCCACTGGTCCGGGACCACGACGCGCACGGAGACGCCGGCGTCCGCCGCAGCGACGGTGACCGTGCGGCCCCCCGCGGCGCGGTCGTGGACTTTTAGGTCTCTCGTTTGGACCATGCGGTTGCTGCTGTTATCTCAATTGTGTCGCGCATGGATGGATGCAAAAGCCCTCGTCCATCGCGCGCCGTGCGCGATTGATGTCGGCCTTGAAGGTTCAGTGAACGATTGATGAACCGGCATTGGGATCGGCATGGGGCTGCCAATGCGCCGCACATGATGATCGCATATTATGATCGCATCACCTATGTCAATGGCACCTCAAACAACACTCCTCCTCCTCGCCGCCGCAGCCGCCGCGCCGGCGCTGCGAGGCGGCGCTGACGTGAAGCCGGGCTGGACGCGCATCGGCGGCCGGCCGCCGCCGCGGTCCGCGCTCGACGAGCTCGTCGCGCGGCCGACCACGCTGCTGCTGCTGCTTGTCAACCTCGGCGCCTTCGCGCGCCTGCGGTCGCGGGACGTCGCGCCGTCGGCCGTCGGCCTCTCCGCGCATGCCCTGTGGCACGACCGCCAGTACGCGCGCCTCGTGACGTCGACGTTCGCCCACTTCGACGCGATGCACCTGCTCTTCAACGCGTCGTCGACGTATTCGCTCGGCGCGCTCGAGGACGTGCTCGGGTCCGGCGCGTACCTGCTCGCCACGCTCGCGCTCGTACCCGCGACGGGCCTGCTCAGCTGCGCGCTCGCCGCCGCCGCGTCGCGGCTCGACGGAGACGCCGCCTGGCTCCGGACACCGGCCGTCGGCTTCTCCGGCGTCCTCTTCGCGCTCGTCGTCGTCGCGACCCTCCGGTCGCCGTCCTACTGCGTCGTGCCGGGCGTCGACGCGTCGTGCTTTTCGACGCGGCGCGTCCTGTTCCTCCGGGTCAACGCGGCCCCCTTTGTGCTCGCGGGCCTCGTCCAGGCCGTCGTGCCGCGCGCGTCCTTCCTCGGCCACCTCGCCGGCATCCTCCTCGGCTTCCCCGCGGCGTGGCTCCTCGCGACGTAATTATTCGCCCGTGTCGTAGACGTACATGCAGTAGACGAACAACAGCAGGATCGTCGCCGGCGGCCAGATGTCGTCCGCGCGCCGCCGCAAGAACGCGAGCGTCCGCGGCCACGACGCGAGGCCCTTGGGGACGACGTCGCCGCGGCGCACCTCGCGCGCGAGCATTGCGAGCGTCGCGTAGTAGAGCGCGCGGAGCAGCGCGAAGTAGAAGGCGAAGGCGTACTGGAGGTCGTCGGAGACGCGGCCCCAGACGGCCCACGTCGCCGGCAGCGTGCTCAGGCCCACGACCCACTGGGCCATCACGAGCCGCAGGCGGGGAAGGGTGGGCCCGTAGAGCGCGATGAGGCCGTAGAGGCAGACGTGGTCCACCCCGATGATGACGCTGCTGAACATGTGGACGCGCTCCCACCTACCAACCACCTCGGTAATGATTTCTCATCGTTTTCCCAGTCAAAAACTCTCGAAAATCGTCACGGCCGCGGGACGCTGGCTCCCACCGGGGCTCGCCCAAATCGACGCCGCTCGGCCGCGCGACGGGCCGCGGCGGCGGCTTGCGGCCCAGGGCGGCGCCGCGCGTCGTGTTCAGCGTCAGCGCCAGGGTCAGCGCGATCTGCACGAGGCTCAGCCAGAACATGCCGTTGCTGCCCGCGCGCGCGCACCGCGCGACCCACGTGCCGAGCTCGCGGCCGACCTCGCGCTGCACGGCCTGGTGCCAGCGCACGAAGCACAGCACCTCGAAGCCCCCGGGGCCGTCGCCGGCGTCGCCGAGCGCCACGCCGAGGACCGCCCCGGGCGCCGCGCGCGCCGCGGCCGCGGCGCCGTCGCCCGCGCCGGACGGCACGAGCGTGTCGCCCGCGCGCACGCCCGCGTCGCAGCGCACGGGCACCTGGCCCACGAAGGCGACCAAGGCGCCCCGTCGGCGCCGGTCCTCGTCGTCGGGCACGCCCGCGGCGACGGACGGCCGGCTCGACGTGATGAGCACGGGCCCGTCGCCGGACGTGTCGAGCGTCAGGCTCTGCGTCCGCGCGTCGATGGCGACGACGGACCCCGGCGGCGGGAGCTTGGGCGACGCGAGGACGTCGTCGTGCCAGGGGAACCACTCGGCGTAGTCCGCCGCGCCCTCGGGCGCGCGGATCGTGCCGCGGATCGCGCCCTCGACGACGACGTCGCGCAGGAACCGCGTCGTCCGCGGCACGACGTCCTCCTCCGTGTACAGGTTGTCGCGCCGCTTGCGCAGGCCCCGGGGCGACGGCGTCCGCGACGACCGCTCGCCGCTCCGCGCCGTCGCGCCGTTCTCCGCGTCGCTGAGCGAGTCGCAGAACTGGCTCGAGTCCTCGTCGTCGGGCGGCGCGCGCGCGCGCTTCGTGCCGCCGGTGCCGCCGTCGCGCCAGAGCTGGACGAGGGCGACGTCGGCGCCGCGGTCCGCCGCCGGCGGCGCGCGCGCGTCGGGCCGCGCCGTCAGCGTGTAGAGCCAGCCCCGGTAGCCGTGGACGCGGCCCGCGCCCTCGCCGCTCCGGACGCGCCGCGCCATGGGCCGCCGCACGACGCCCCGCAGCTCGTCGGGCGCCCACCAGGCCTCGCCGTTCGTCACGGACTGGAAGGCCACGGAGATGCCGCCCGACTCGCCGCGGCCCTCCGCGCGCGCGCGCGAGACGACGTACGCCGCCGACGGCCCGGAGAACGGCGCGAACGGCGACGCGGACGGCCGCAGGGGCAGGGTCCGCGGCGCGTCGCCGCCGGTCGCGAGCTTGCGCAGCCAGGCGTGCACCGTCTCGAAGGGCATCACCTCGCCGCTCGCCAGGCGCCGCTCCTCGTCGCCGGCCGCGGACGGCGGGCGCGCGTTTCGCGGCGAGTCGACGAGCGGCGCGTTGAGCAGCTCGTCGAAGCAGTCGACGTCGATGGCCTCCCGCGGCAGGCCCTCGTCGGCCGCGTCCAGGCCCCCGTCGTCCGCGCCGTCGCGCGGCCCCAGGCTCTGGAGGTCGTCGGCGAAGTCCTCCATGATGGTCGGGGGCTGCCCCCACTCCGCCGAGAGAGGGTAGACGGCGGCCGTGTCGGGACCGGCGACGCCCGCGCGATCACGGTGCGAATTTGGGACGCGACGTTGAAAAGACTGTGCGTTTTTCTGGCGCGGTCAGGAGGTCATCGCGAGCATTCAAGGCGAGGATTTTTACTCCTCTCTTGCTGCCATCAGGATCCTCGACAGAGCGTTCATTCCTGAATTGTGCACAGGGAGTTGATGTAAAAGTTGCAGGAAGGCGATCGCGGCAGCCCTCATTACGTCTCATTGGCGCCAGTCGCGCTCGTCGACGGCACACATAGGCAGTTCTCAAAGCAGCCTGCGCGCACACCTAGGCAGCCCATTCATCGGTGCCAGCCCATTCATCGGCGGCCCATTCATCGGCTCACCTTTGCAGCCTGCGAGCACGCAGAGGCAGCCCATTCATCGGTGCAATGCAGCGCTCCATCTCCACGCCCTCGCTGCACGCATCTCTCGCGACACCGACCATCCCGCGCGGCTGCGTCGCGAGCGTGCGCGTCGACGACCATCCGAAGACGGGCAAGGGCGTCACCTGGTACCGCGTCGTGACGCGCTGCGAGAAGGGCGACGTCGTCCTCGACGCGGAGCGGCGCTACACCGCGTTCCGCGAGCTCCGCGACGCGCTGCGGACGCAGACGCGGCTCGGCGGCTTCGACGCGCGCTTCCCGGGCCGCTTCGGCGGCGGCGGCGCGCCCGGCAGGGCCCGGAGCTCCCGCGAGCTCCAGCTCGAGCGCTGGCTCAACGAGGTGCTGGGGAAGCGCGACGTCCTCGACCCGCGGTCGCTGCGGGCGCTCCGCGCGTTCCTCGGCGCGCCCGACGACGGCGCGGCGCCCGCGGCCGCGCCGTCGTTCTTCCGCTTGGACTATTTCGAAAACCGCGACCTGCGCCTCAAGGCCGCGCTCCTGGAGCGGCGCTTGGACGCCGCGTTGGCGTCCGACGCCGCGTCGACGGCGGCGCTCGCGGCGATGACGACGCAGCGGGACCACCTCCTCGCGGACCTCGCGCGGCGGTGCCGGCCGCCGCCGCCGCCGCCGCCGAGGCGGCTCGACTGCTGCTTCTACGGCGGCGCGACGCGGCCGCGGCGCGGCGCGATCAGCGAGCGACCGTAACGTTTTAGGACGGCGGCGCGAACGACAGGGCCGGCAGGCGGAGCGCGCGCCGCGCCAAACGGACGACCGCGCCGAGGACCGCGCCCGGGAAGAGCGCCGTCGCGATGAGGGCCTCGGAGGCGAAGCGGAGGAGCGGCGAGTTTCCGCCGTAGAGGCACGCGTAGCACCAGAGCCGCACGGGCGCGAGGAGGCCGCTCAGGCCGAGGCGGTAGCAGGCGATGGAGATCGTTCCGTGGCTCGTCGCGACGAGTCGGAGCAGCCGCGACGGGTCCGCGCGCGGCATCTTCGCCAGCGCGTCCGCGTGGGCCTCGAGGCCCAGGGACCTTGCGCCCGTCTCGATGATGCCCAGGTAGCGCTTCGACGGGATCGCGTCCGACCGGAGCCGGCACCAGTCCTCGGCCGCGAGCGTCACGGCGTCGACGTCGGGGCCGTCGGGCCGCGACACGCGGACGACGACCTCGCGGTAGGGGCTTCGCGGCATGGCGCCGCCCTCGCTCCGCCAGAGCGCCTCGTAGTCGTCGAGCGCCATCTCGTAGACGCAGCCCGGGCACTCGTCGTCCGCGCTCTCGGCGATGGACGCCATCGCCGGCTCGAGCGGCGGGAAGCCGCGCATGTTGAAAGCGAGGCGGTAGCCGTGCGCGACGCAGGCCCAGCGCTTCGCGTAGGGGATGGCCGACGCGTTCTTGCCGCGCGACGCCATCTTGCTCGGATCGAGGTTGGAGCCGAACGCGAAGTAGCGCACGGTGTTGTCGTGGATCACGCTGCTAGGCAGGCGCATGCTCGACGCAGCGGTCGCGATCAATGCCGCGAGGAGGAGCATCGTGGCATCAGGGTGGCGCTGTTGCTGGAGTCGGACCACCTCGCAATCACCGCTGCCACCGCAGCATGCGCAGCCTCGGGGTAGCAGGGCAATGATGAAGTCATCGAGCCGCCACTTAAATCGCAATCTCAGCAGCAATTTGTTCACGAGTTGTTGCTCTTCGGGGAACGCCGGGCGTGTTGGAGCCCGCGCTGCCAGCTGGGCACACAGGCGGACGAGGACGACGACGCGGACATGTACAGCAACGCGCCGAAGAAGCAGGCCGGGGGCGCGCCCGAACCCGACGCCGACGGCGACGTCTTCTTCGACGCGCCCGCGCGGAGCTCGCTCCTCTCCGCGGTCTACGACGGTCTGGCGGTGTCCAAAAAGCCCGCGGCCGCGCCCGCGCCCGCGCCCGCGGCGTCGCCCTACGCCGCCTACGGCGGCAGCCAGCGCCTGGGCCTCGGCGGGTCGCGGCCCAAGCCCGCGGCCGAGAAGCCCGCGGCCGAGAAGCCCGCGCCCGCGCCCGCGGCCGCGGCGACGGCCGTCGGCAAATTCGGCGCGGAGCTCAAGATGCCAGACAGCAACAATTTGAGCTCGCAGCAGCCTGCAGAGGACCGGAGGCTCTTCTGGGAACGACACAAGCAAAAGGCCAAGCGCGCACTCTCAGAAGAATGGGCGTCGCAACAAGTGCTCGCAGTCTCGGAGCCAGCAGCTCGCCAGGCTACCGTCGACGACGCAGAGACGTCGGCGGTACCTCCTCCTGAGTCACCACCGCACGCACTGAGCGATGCTCGAGAGGTGCCGGAGCCACCAGCGGCGCCGAACGCTCAGCTCGAGGCCGCGGCCGACGCGCCGGACAAAGTCCAGGTTGCCAGCGACCTAGGAGAGGGGCTCGACGACCTTCCGGTGGCCACGTCCGTAGTCGTGGGGAAAGAACCACACCCTGACGAAGGGACGAGCTTCGTGGTCACAGAACGGGTCTATGAATCGCAGCGATTCTCTTCGGTTACGATGGGTAACGCAATACGCGGTTGGTCACACAAGAATCTGCAAAATCTGGGGTACGGCGACCCGAAGCGCCTGAGCCGTGTCGACCCGTCGGACGAGACGTCCGACGCTGTGCTGGACGCGCTTCGCGCCGTTGTCCGTTGCAAGGTCGGCATCGAAGACGGCGGCGGCCTCCCGAGCGCTCGGTGGGAATGGGTCACACCGTGGCGGATCGTCCGCGATCATGGCTCCGGAACGGATGCCCAGGGCTGGGAGTATGCAGCGCGATTGACGATCGGCCAGTCGTGGTCCTCGACGCCGGGCATCGCTTCCAAGTTCCGCCGGCGGCAGTGGGCTCGGGTCCGCAAGTGGGTCGGTTCCGGCACGAGCGCCCCTTCGCCCGAGGCGACCAAGGCGCTGATGCAAGTCGCGGGGCTCGGCTTCCGGCTCACGCCCGACGAGACGTCGGCATTGGCTAGCGGCGGCCTCGCGAGCCTCGACGAGGCGATCGAGCTCCTGACGCGGTGCGAACGATCCAGCGGCGACCGGCACGGCGGCGGCGGCGTATCGGCGGACGCACAGTCGATGCTCAGCCTCCAGGGGAGCAGTTTCAAGCACGGCCTCGAGTGCCACGGTACGCCCAACCTCATCCATCCCGCCGACGCGCGGCTTCTCGCCGTCCTTACGCGCATCCCCGCCGTGCCCACGTACGTGCGTGTGATGGGCGCTGGCGCGGTCGAAAGTGCTCAGATCAAGTACGTCGCTGGATCGCTCCAGGTTGGTCCATCCCAAAAGCCGCATATCTGGGCCTGCTACGTCGACGCGTGCAATGCGATCGGCGTCGACGCGTCGTCGAACGCGAATCCTCCGCCGCCGACGCTCTACATCAAGAACGACCCGATCCCGAACGCGTACACCATGGCCCGCCAGGTCGGTCGTCCGTTCATCGTCATTACGTCGGGCCTCATCAACATCCTTGATGCCAGCGAGCTCCGATTCGTCTTCGGCCACGAGCTCGGCCACCTCGTCTGCGAGCACGGCGTGTACCACGACGTCGCCGTGGAGGTCATCAACGGCGGAATGGAACGCCACCCCGTCGAAGCCACGAGTCTGTCGGTGGTGGGCTTCCTCGCCATCAAGGCCTACCTGCTCCGCTGGTACCGCGCGTCGGAGCTCTCCGCGGACCGCATCGGTCTCCTCGTCGTGGCTGACCCGCGCGTCGCCGTCTCGGTTTTTGCGAAGCTCGCGAGCGGGCTGCGCGACGTCGACGTCGAAGCGTACCTGCGCCAGACCGAGACCGCGATGACGGCAGCCGCTCGTTCCCCACTCCTCACTGCGAGCGCGATCTTTGCGGAATCGCATCCGTTCAACGCGACGCGCGTCTGCGAACTCATGCAATTCGCGAAATCAAAATTCTACCAGACGCTCCTCACGTCGGTGCGCGCCACCGCCGCGAAGCTGCCCGAGCCGCCACGCGCCTCCGCCGCGCGTATGCTCCATGTCACGATCATGTCGCTAGCTGGAACTGACGCTCGCTCGAGCGAGGCCTTCGGGTGCTACTGCAAGGTTCGACTCACGAAGGGTGAAACGGGCGTTAAGTGCGCCCCGACGATGAAGGGCTGCTCCGCGACGAAGCGTCTCGCAAATACCGCGACGGAGATCGTCTTTAACGAACACTTCGCTCTCGGGCCCGCCGTCTCGGCGCCCGGCGTCGCATTCAAGGTGATCTGTTTCCAAGATTCGAAGCTACCGGTCGAATTGGGCGATGCTCGCGTGCTTCTTTCCGAGCTCGATCCGAAACAGCTGGAGCAGCTCTTCGTCCGTCGTCTTTCGGCTGGAGGATCACCACCCACGCAGGCCTCGCCGACGATCAAGTTCAGCCTGGCACTCTGCTAGCTCCGCTACTTCTAGTACTTGTAAGAACGAGGGGAGTGGTCGAGGGGCGAGAGCAAATCGGCGTCTCGACGGCCAGGCCCTACAGGGAAGTATCTTACATATGTGCAGGCAGAGAAAGGAAGGGAGGGTCTTGGTGGTGTGTGCTCAGTCGTTGTTGTCGTCCCAGACGGGCTTCATGCCTGTGTGGAAATCAAATCTTCAACCCGACTTCAATGTGCGCGTAATCGACCGATTTGGACCAGACTCTTTCGCTGTGCTTCGAGAACTCGATGAGAGCAATCGATTCGTCCAAAAATCAGCCGAATCGACTTCGATTTGGCCGAGATAGAGAGTTCTGAAGTTTGGTGGGGACCCCCCAAACGAGTGGTTGATTTCCACACAGCTTCATGCGGAAGGAGCCGATGAAGGCGGGCTCCGTGGACCAGCCGATGGCGACCTGGCCCTTGATGCGGCGCGGCGACGGCGGCGCGTCGTCGTCGGCGCCCGGCGGCGTCGGCGCGGCCGTGAGCGCGCCGATGTAGAGCCTGTCGTGGTTGAGGTGCACGCCCGTCGTCACTGCCGTCGAGCCGCCGAAGCGGCGGAGCCAGAGCCAGATGCGCCCGCCGGAGCCGTCGATGCCCGACGTGAGGTCGATGCCCGAGTCGAAGAGGTTCCACTTGCCCGCGAGCTTGGCGCCGTTGCCCAGGTCCGACGTCGTCTCCCAGGTGCGGTTGCCGTAGAGCACGACCTCGTACGCGGAGATGGACGTCTCGGACGAGAAGTCGAGGCTCCACTTGCCGACGATCTGGTCGCACTTGAAGAGGGGCGTGGTCCGGTTCGGCTTGACGTTCTCCACCACGGGCTGGAGGCTCGCGAGCTGCTGCGTCATCGTGAACGTGCCCGCGTACTCGGGCTCGACGGCCCCGAACAACATCGTGCCGCTCACCCCTTCGCCGCGCTCGTAGTTGCCCGTGTAGGTCTCGACGACGTTGCAGGCGTGGCGGCCGAAGCGGCTCATCTTCAGCTCCGCGCCGTCGCAGGACCAGCGGCCCCGCACGGCGCGGTCCGCGGGCGTCTCCGGCGGCGTCGAGAAGCCGCCCCTCGAATCGAGCGTCACGAGGACGCTGTCGGCGAGCACGCGCGCGCGCGCGGGCGACGTCCAGCGGCAGCCGGACCACGACGGCTGGATGGGCACGGCCGCGGGGAGCGCCTCGTCGACGCACGGCCGCCGCTCGAGCTTCCAGAGGCCGCTCAGCTGGAAGTCGCCGCTCAGATCGCCCTCGGCGTGAAAGTTCGCCGCGCGGCGCGTGGAGGTCCGCGGCGCGGCGGCCGGGGCGCGGAAGGAGAGGCTCGGGATGAGCGACAGCGCGAGGGCGAGCGCCTTCGTCGTCGGGGCCATGGTGCCACCGGGCGCGGAATTTGCCACAGGTGTGTGTTCTGCGGGACAGTTGGGCGCGCGGGCGAGGGCGCACGGTTGCGGGCGGCGGTTGTTTTGCTTTGAACGGCTTTGGGGTTTGTCGTCGGCCTCTCGGAGCGTCCAGGAGGGGCTAACGGCGTTGACAGCAGGCGCGATCGTCCGACACAACAAGCGCTTCGCTGGCGCGGTGCTCGTTTTTGAAGAATTTGAGCTTCACATTCGCCGCACGATTACGTCACGATAGGCGCCATTCTTAAATCGAGCGCACGGAAGTCTCACAGGTGACGCCCTTACGTAGGAGCACGACACAGGGAGAGCGGGAGGGGCGTGCAGCGGTGGGGGTGCACGCAACTCCAACTCAGCCGAAGATCGTGGTCCGGACGTCGTCGGGGAGGTCGAGGCCCGCGGCGCCGAGGTCGAGCTTGTCGAGGACGTCGGCCGGCGAGTCCGCGTCGCGGAGGTCGTCGTCGTAGAAGGTCGCGAGGTCGGCGGCGGCCGCCGCGACGCGCGCGTGGTCGCCCGCGTGGAGGTCGACGCGGCCGCCGCCGTCGGAGGTTCGCGCGGGCACCGCGACGTCGACGAGCGCGTGGAGCTTGTCGAGCAGCGCGACGTAGGTGAGGCCGCTCTTGGCGTAGGTGCGCGCGCGCGTCGCCGTCGCCGCGTCGAGCGCGCCGTCGCGGGGGCTCGCCGGCGGCGACGCGGCCGCGGCCGACGGCGCGTCGTCGCCGCGGCGGTGCCGCCGGTGGTCGCGCGCGGCCGCGGACGCCGCCGCGCGCGTCCGCGCGCGGTCCAACGCGCGCCGGAGGGCGAGCTTGGCGTAGAGGCGCCGCTGCGCGGGCCCCCAGTCCGCGCCGCGCGCGAAGAGGCCGAGTAAGGCGACGTACGGCGCGGCCTCGGCCAATTGCGCGGCCGCGTCGCCGGGCTGGCTCGCGGACGGCGACCGGCCCCGCGGCGCCGCGGGCGCCGGCGCCGGCGCCGACGCCGTCGCGAAGACGTCGAGGTCCCTGGTCCTGGCGGCGAAGGCCTTCCGGAGGTCGGCGACGCGCGACCGGTCGTCGGCCGCGTGCGGCGCGGCCAGCAGGTGGCCCGCGAGCTGGAGCAGGTAGAGCCCGAGGTGCGCGTTCGACTCGCGGGACCCGCCGCCGCACTCGTCGTGGAGCGGCTCGCGGTGCGCGAGGCGCAATAATAGCAGCCGCGCGTCGTGCGCGGCGAGCGCGAAGCGAGAGGTCCGCTGCGCGCCGCCGCCGCTCGACGACGGCACGCCGAGCTGCGCGGCGCGCGAGAAGTGGCGGTCCACGGCCGACGCGTAGGCCGCCGCCGCCGCCGCGCGGTCGCCGTCGCCGTCGTCGCCGCCGGCCCCGGGCGGCGGCTTCAGCGGCACGATCGAGTTGCACAGGACCCGCGAGTTCCGCAGCGTCGCGCCGTCCCACTCGTTGCGCGGGCTCCGCAGCGACCGCTCGGCGCGCGTCGCGTCGCGGTGGCACGACACGTGGATGCAGTGCATGGCGGACACGGACGAGCACAGCGCCGGCGGCGCCGCGCGCGACGACCCGCCGGACGGCGCCGACGCCAAACGCCCGCCGGCGCCGGCGCGCGGCTTCCGGTCGTCGTCGTCCAACAGAAACGCGCCGTCGCCGCGGCCGACGTCGGCGACGGCCAGCTTCGAGAAGACGTAGCAGCCGAGCGCGTCGCGGGGCCGCGACCGGAAACCCTCGCGGCAGACGACGCACCGGGGCCCGCCGAGCTCCGGGTCCTCCTCCGGCGCGGGCGCCGCCTTGGCCGCCGCGGGCTCGGGGGCCTCGAGGCCGAGGCGCTTGAGCGTCCGCGCGCGCCGTTTCAAAGCGTACGCGCTCCGCGCGTCGGAAGAAGCTTTCCGTAACTCAACAACCGCGGCCGCGGCGCCGCCGTGGCGCGACCGCGCGACGGCGTCGAGGAGCGCCTCGGCCTTGAGCGACGCGCCGCGGTGCTTCGGCGCCTGGAGCGCCTCGAGGCCGTGGCACGCGGCGAGCGCGCCCGCGGCGAGCGCCGCGGCGCCGCAGGCGCGCGACGCGAGGCAGCAGCCCCGCAGACCGTCGACGCAGGCCTCGATGGTCGGCGTCGCCGCGTCGAGGGCCGCGACCCAGTCCGCGGGGCTCGCGACGTCGGCGCGCTTCTCGGCCCAGGCGAGCTTCGGGAACCGCTTCGGTAAAGCGGCGGCCAGCGCCTCCGCCAATGACTTTGCAAAGCCGACCCTCGCGAGCGCGTCGCCGACGTCCTCGGCGCCCGGCGCCAGGGCGTCGTGATCGCCGAAGCCGCCGAGGCCCTCGACGGCCTCGCGCAGGCACGACGCCTCGACGCGCGCGTCGTCGCCGCGGCACGTCGCCCAGCTGGCCAAATCCCTCGCGCAGTCGGCGACGCGCGCGGCCAGCGAATCCGCCGCGTCCTTCTTGCCGTAGGCGAGCGCCGGCAACAGGCGGCAGACGGCCTTGCGCAGCGCCGGCGTCCGCACGAGCGCCGCGGCGACGCGCGGGTCGCCGAGGCCGCCGACCAACGTCTCCAAGTGCGACCCGTCGTCGTCGGACAGCGTCTGCGACGCCTGCCCGCCCGACGACGCCTCGGCGGCCGCGGGCGCGAGGCGCTCCAATAGACTCAGCAGCTTCTCGACCATCTCCGTCGCGCCGCTCCGCGCCTTGAGCGCGGACACGAGCCGCGCCAATAGCGCGCCGGGCGCGCCGAGCTCCGCGAGCTGCCGCGCGTGCGCCTCGACCTGCGCGCACATGCGCAATAAACTCAGCGCCCGGGGCACGAGCGCCTCGTCGCCCGTGGCCACCAGGCGCACGAGCTCCACGAGGCCGTCCGCCGCGGCGATGGCCGCCGTCGCCGCGTATTTGTCCGCCGCGTCCGACTTCGCGCCGCCTCCGCCCAGCGTCTCCAGCCGCTCCTCCGTCGCCTCGCCGTCGACGCCCGTCAAGCGGTAGGTCACGAGCATGGGCGGCAGCTGGCGCTTCGCGCGCCGCCGCCGCTTCGGCGACCGGTCGCCGGAGCCCGGCGACCGCGGGCTCCGGCCGCCGAGCGCCGGAGGCGACGCGAGGCCGAGCGCGGCCGACGCGGCCGCGATGGCCGGGTGCGCCGCGCCCTCGTCGTCGTCGTCGTCGAGCTCGTCGTCGTCGTCGTCGTCGAGGAGCGGGTGCGCGTCGCCGTCGTCGTCGTCGTCGTCCACGTCGTCCTCGTCCATCTCGTCGTCGTCGTCGTCGTCGTCGTCGTCGCCGTCGTCGTCGTCGCGCATGTCGTCGTCGTCGTCGTCGTCGACGTCGTCGTCGTCGTCGTCGTCGCCCACGGACGGCCCGCCGAGCGCCGCGGCGAGGGCGCCGAGCTGGCGCCGGTGCGCGCGCGACCGCGGCGCGTTCGCCTTGGGCGCCCACAAGCGCGCGTGGACCCCTCTTACGGGCAAGTCCAAATTCACGATGCGGTCGCAGACCACGAGCTCCAGCATCTCCGCCGCGTCGGCCATGTCCAGGTCCTTGGCGATCTTGTTGCGCACGTCGCCCATCGTCGGCTCGCGGCCGCCGCCGTCGTCGTCGTCGTCGCGGCGCGCGCCGCCGGCGCCGCGCGGCGTCGACGCGGGCACGTCGTCCAAGTCCACGGCCGACCTCGGGAGATTCCCGCGGAAGAACTCCTCCTGCGTCGGCGCGCGCCGCAGCTGGAGCGCCACGCGCGCCTTGGCCTTCTTCGGGCACACGGCGTCGCCCATGTCGCGGAGCAGGCCTTCGACGGACGCGACCGACAGCCGCGGCGGCGGCTCCTCGGCCAGCGCGTGGAGCCGGTGCGCGCGGCGCCGCCGGAGCAGGTCGCAGGCCGCGGCGAGGAAGGCGTAGCGGTCCTCGCGGCGCCACTTGGGCGCCGCGGCCGCGGGCTCCGGCGCGGCGAACCAGTCGCGGCGCGCCTTCGACGGGTCCGCGGCCGGCGCGAAGCGCGCGACCCTCGCGAGCATCTCCGCGGCGTCCTCCGTGTCGACGCTGCGGAGCAGCCGCAGCTCCCGCAGCGCGAGCGTCGCCTCGAGGGGCACGTGGAGCGCCTCGCGGCGCGCCGCGCGCGCGGCCGCGGACGCGGCCGACTCCTCGCCCTCGGACGCCGGGCTTCCGGGCCGCTCCGGCGCGCGCAGCGCGATCGCGAGGTCCGCCAGCGGCAGCAGCCCCGGCGCGCCGTCGCCCGCGACGGCGATGGACGCCAGCGCGTCGACGCCGCCGCGGCGCCGCGTCGCGAGCGCGTCGTCGCGGTCGAGGACCTTCGCCGCCTCCAACCGCGCGAGCCGGCACGCGAAGCCCCCGAAGCCCCGGGCCCGCAAATAAGCCCGCCGCGCCCGCGTCGCCTCCGACGGCCCCCGGGGCCCCTCGTCGGCGACGAGCTCGAAGACCGCGGCCACGAGCTGGTCGCCGCGGCCGCTCGCCGAGCCGCCCGCCGCGACGGCGCCGAGCGCCGCGCACGCGAACTCCAAACCGGCCAGCGCGCCGGCCGTGTTCACCACGCCCGGCGCCGGCTCCTCGCCGCAGGCGGCCAACAAGAGCAGGCTCGCCTGGCGCCGGCACGCGAGCGCGGGCGACGCGAGCGCGGCCGCGAACCAGCCGTCCACCGTCCGCGCGCCGTCCGCGCGGTCCAGGGGCGCGCCCCGGAGGCAGCGCAGGGCGCGCCGCAGCTTCGCCGCGCGCAACGCCATGTCCGGCGAGATCCAGGCGAGCGCGCGGCGCCGGTCCGACGCCGCGGTGGGCGCCGCCGCGAGCTCGGACCGGAGCCACGCGAGCGTCCCGCCGCCCCGGCCCTCCGAAGCCGCGAGCTTGCAGAGGACGCCGAGCGCCGGCCGGAGCACGTGCTCCGCGGCCTCGGGGCTGTCGACGGGCGCCGCGAGCTTGGCCGTCTCCCGCGCGAAGGCCTCGGAGTCTTCGAACAACGCGGCGCCGCCCGCGCCGTCGCGGTCCGCGGGCGGCGCGGCGACGTGGTCGCGGAAGACGCGCAGCGCGCGGCCCGCGGCCGCGGGGGCCGTGCCCGCGAGCGCGGCGTCGCGGGAGCGCCGCAGCTCGAGGAAGACGGCGGTCCTCGCGCCGCCGCTCCGCGCGCACAACTCGCGGAGCGCGCGGCCGCACTCCGCGCGGGACCCCGCCGTCGTCGCGGGCCGCGCGGCGGCGCCGAGCAGCGCGGCGGCGACCCCCGCGCGGTCCAGCGCGTCGCGGCCCCGGGGCCGCTTCGCCAGCTCGCCCGCGACGGCCGCGAGCCGCCCGACGGCCGCGGCGGCCGCCCGCGAGCACCGCGGCGCCTCGAGCGCGACGCCGTCGTCGGACTCGTCGCCGTCGTCCGGAACCTCGCCGCCGCCGTCCCGCAGGTACCAGGCGCGCATGCGCGCCACGGTCTCGCTCGCCTCGCGCGCCGCGCGCCGGAGCTCGCCGTGGAGCGCCGCGCAGTCGCGCTCGTAGACGTCGCAGAGCGCGACGGCGGCGCCGCCGCCCGCCCGCCGCGGGCCGTCGCCGCGCTCCTCGGCGCGGGCGGCGCTGGCCAACGCCTCGCGGCGGCGCCGGTCCTCGCGGTGCGACGCCGTGAGCAGCGCCTCGACGGCCGCGCGCGCGTCGCGGAGCCGGCCCGCGCGCGCCTCGCCGGGCGCCTCCGGCGCGGACCCGCCGCGGTCGCGCTTGCGCCGCCGCGGCGACGGCGGCGGCGCCGGGGCCGCCAGGTCGGCCAGCGCCGCGCGGACGGCCGCGTCCGCGGCCTCGGCGGCTTCCGCGACGGCGTCCAAGCCCGCGTCGTCGCTCGCGGCCGCGTCGGCCCTACTCGGCGGCGGCGCGCGCGCCCGCGCCGCGGCGTCGGCCGCCGGCGCCGGCGCCGCCGCGGGCGCGGGCTCGCCGTCGTCCGCGCGGTCCCCGCGGAACTCGTCGTCGTCGTCGTCGTCGTCGTCGTCGTCGTCGCCGCCCGCGCCGCCCGCGCGCGCGGCCGGCTCCGGCGCGCTCGCGTCGTCGTCGTCGTCGTCGTCGACGTCGTCCATGTCGTCGTCGTCGTCGTCGTCGCGCAGGTCGTCGTCGTCGTCGTCCGCGCGGACCGCGCCGCGCGGCGGCCCGTCGTCGCCGCCGTCGTCGTCGTCGTCGTCGTCGTCGTCGCCGCGGCCGCGGCCCTCGCCGAGGAGGAAGGCGAGCTCGCGGTCGCCGGGGCCGCCGGAGAGGGACAGCAGCGGCGCCGACGTCGCCGGCGCCGCGCGGCGCCGCGGCGCGCGCGGCGGCGCCGCCGCGGCCGCGGCCGCGGGCGCGCGGACGTGGACGCGGTGCGTCGGCGGCGCGGGCGCGCCGGCGACGAACTCCGCCGC